CTTTCTGCGTGTTTCTTTTGGCTCTCCTTCTTCCCTTTCTTTTTTCTTACTATCCTGTGGCTGACTTGATTGTTTAGGACTCCATCGTGATTTATATTTCTTGTGGTTGTGTATCTCTGTATAGTTTTTGTAGTGGTTGTTATGAGCATTATGATGCTATATGTGACTGATCATAATCCATTGGTATCACCATTTAGCTATTTCAGTTGAAATACAAAACCTTATTTCCATTTAGTTTCCTTTAGCTTCTCCACTTGTAAATATACTTGTCTGTACCATCAACTAGTTATAATTTGGGGGGCATCAAATATAATTTATAAAACTCATGAAGGAAATATTATGTGATTTTTGAGTTAAATTTTGTCTCAACTTGACTAGGTCACTGGATGTTCAGATATTTGGTCAAACATTATTCTGAGTGTGTGAGGATATTTTTGGATGAGTTTAACACTTAAACTGAAAGACTGAGTAAAGTAGATTGCCCTCCCTTACGTGGCTGGGCCTCATTCCTTGGAGGCCTGAATAGAATGAAAAACTGATGCTCCCTGATTAAGAAGGAATTCTTTTTACCTGACTGCATCCCAGCTGTGACATCAGATTTTTCCTATCTTCAGACACAGACTGAAGCATCAACTCTTCCATGGTCTTGAGCCAGCTAGTCATCAGACTGGAAGGATACCATCACTTTTCTGGGTACTCAGGCCTTAGACTTGGACTAAAACTATGCTGTCTGCAATTCTGGTCTCCAACTTTCTGACTGCAGCCCTTGAGACTTGGCAGCCTCCACAAGTGTGAGCCGATTCCTTTCTCCTGTTGGTTCTATTTCTCTGGAGAACCCTGACTATGACAGATAGTTTATTACTTACCATCTTTCTACTCTTTCTATTGTTATTCCTTCCCTTATGACTAAAGCTTCAAGATTCATTCTTTTATCATTTCCTTTGCCTGGTATAAAGTCCATACCATGTGATGATAGAAACCTACCTTCAGTCAGCTAGAGTGACTCTTTCCTGGAGTTGCGTCTAGAGGGTGCTTATGGGCTTAATGGTACTGAAGCTCAGGTGGGATGGTTTGAGGCCTGCTGTCACTTCTGCACTTAGGCATCTGCTGAGGCATTTTTATGCCTGTCTAGTGTTTGGTCATTATGCAGGTACCGTGATGTGGGAAACCTTCTCCTACCACTGCCCCAATCCAACAGGAAAGGCCTTATCTCTGTTCTTCTCAAATCCCCTTCTATGCTTCCCAGGTTTGCCCAGCTTCCTCTACACTCACTAAGCCCACAGGAAAATCAGAAGACTGCCTCAGGTCCATCTGGCCGCCACTGTGAGGGGCCAGGAATGCCAGGGTCTTACTGTCTTTGCAGACCCTGAGGGACAAAAGCATGCGACCACTTAGTGTAGAAGCTGAGACCTACCTGTGATTTCCATTATTTCTACTTAACCCTTGAAAGTGGATGGGAAGGGAGTAGGGCTGTCTTATATACAAAGTCACCTAAGCTCTGGTTCTCCCTTCTGTAGCCCAGAGTATTCATACAATGTTTAGCCAAGGGGATAGTTCCGGGAAAGAGATTTTTCTGCTATTTACCATAAGTTCCTCACATAGGAACAAAATTATATCAGCACATTGATACACACACACGCGCGCGCATGCACACATATACATGCACAAACACGCACACATACTCTAATAGCAGAATGGCTGTATATATACCCTAAGAACCCTCCTCTTTTTTCTAAAAGCCAAATTGTAAAAGTTCTGTAAACAACCTGAATTAAGTTTTTATTTCTGTTTTTTTTTTCCTGAATTAAGTTTAATGGAAAAATTTCCAGTGGTTAGAGGTCAATCACCTTTTATTCAGAGAAACGGTTCAAGTCTAAACCCTTACCCTGTGGACCCCACTCCCACCCACACCAACTGCAATACTGTAAAAATGAGAAGAGGCAAAGGCATCTCTTACATTTATAGTTCTGGAGACAAATATCTCTACTATTACATTTTTCCCTATGAGGATAAATGGACTATGGTTTTCCTCCCTGTATTAGGTTTCTAGGGCTACTATAACAAAATACCAGAAACTGAGTGGCTTAAACAGAAAAAATTTATCATCTCACAGTTCTGGAGGCTCAAAGTCAAAAAGCAATGTCATAGTTGCATTGGTTCCTTCTGAGGGCCGTAAGGGACAGATCTGTCCCAGGCCTCACTCATGGCTTGTACATGGCAATCTTTTCCCGTGTCTCTATTCAGAACTTCTTTTCTTATATGTCTGTTTCTGTGTCCAAATTTCCCCTTTTCAGAGGGACATCAATCATATTAGATTAGAGCCCACCCCGGTGACCTGGTTTTAACTTAATTATCTCTGTAAAAACCCTAACTCCAAATAAGGTCCCATTTGGAAGGACTGGAGGTTAGGATTCCAACATACGGTTTTCGATGGAGGACATAGTTCAACTCCTAATATTCTCTAAAGCCAAATGATGGGCAATAAAAGGAAGACTGGCATCTTCATCCCTATTTAGATGCCTCTTTGTCAGTGGGCTTGCCAGTCTCCGGTATGCTCTCTGAGCAGAGAAAAGCCCCTGTGCCCTCCTCCACCTCTGTCTGCCTCAGTCCCCAGCAGTTCCAGGCTTTCAAAAGGAATGTTAATTCTCAGATTGATTCATCTGTGCTCTCAAGCCCCAGGTATTGGTACTCATGAAAACAGAGAATACAGTCTTGAAAGAGGCACATGTGGTGGAGAAATGGAGCTACCAACTGGGGATGAGACGGAAGATACAGCCAGCTCACAGGGACCCATGATGCCTAAGGGACTGCCTGTGAGAGCTACTGATCCATGAGGTCACTTAGGAGCACTCTGACCCACAGAGACAGCCAGAACAGCAATCACCGACTAAGAACAGTGTTGCAACCTAGCCAAGGAGGTAAGGTAATCTCTGGCCTTCCAACCCTCCATGGCTTCTCACCACTGGTCTGGAAATTAGGCTGAAGCAAGGGGCAGAGTGGGTGCCCTGCACACTATGTTCCGGGTCTGTCCAGTCAAATCTTTATTTGGCAATGAAAGGATGTTTTTATAAATAGAATTGAATTTTCTAAAAGGAGTCTTTCTGATATACAAAAGTGAGAACTTATAGGCTGAGAGGGTATTAAGGGAGTTTCTACCCAACAGGAAACAGAAATTTGATAGATCAAAACTGAAGTAAGTGACATGAAAAAAAAATAAAACAATGTCAGGTTTGCCCCTCATTGAGCTGAGACTAAAGCGTAGATAACATGCACACACATGTAATAGCACTCAGGTGCATTCTGCTTTAGTGCCAGCTGTTTCACCCAGCAGTATGTCATAGACTATCCCATCCTTACATAGTCTTCAGGAATATAATTTTTTTTTCTTTGAGGTAGAGTCTCACTTTGTCACCCTCGGTAGAGTGCCCTGGCATCATAGGTCACAGCAAACTCAAACTCTTCGGCTCACGCGATTATCTTGCCTCAGCCTCCCATATAGCTGAGACTACAGGCACCCACTACAACACCTGGCTATTTTTAGAGACAGGGTCTCACTCTGGCTCAGGCTGGTCTCAAACCTGTGAACTTAGGCAATCCACCTGCCTCAGGCTCCCATAGTGCTGTGATTACAGGAGGAATATAATTTTTAATGACTGTGATGTGATACCTCTAGACATCTGCCCTCTAACAGATGGAACTCAAATGTTTACTCAGGCTATTATTTGTTTTCCTACTTAGATATTAGTTTTTAACCTAACACTATGTTTAATATGTAAATACAGGTATATTAATGCATCTGTAGATAGTTACAGTTATCATAAAAAATAAATAGAAAATGGAAAAGTGATTCTTTTCCTTATTATAAGTATCTTATACCCTGCAAGTTCTTTTACTTTCTTTTACAGCATACTAAATCTTGATTAGAGAAAATAATTTAATGAAATTAAACCATATAGTGGGTAAGAAGTAGTTAGGTTTAGCTTGATATATAGAAATTATTTATTTAAATCAAGAACCATGTAACGGCACTGAGTGAAATTCTAACAAATGGCTTCTCCGTATCCTCTCACTCCAAGTTGAAGTCTCAACACAGAACAAACACTTGCCAAAGTGGAAGCTGGAGCTCTGCCACCACATTGGGAGGAGGAGGCTTTTCTTGGCCTTCACCTAAGACGGGGTAAGAGGCCCACCTTTGGCAGGAATCTTCCCCGTGGTTAACAGTAAATTTCACAATTTTCTTTAGTTCTGGCACAGTGAGGCTACCTAATGACCAGCAATGTGGAGGAGTAAGGGCTGCCTGGTGATAAGATAAAGTAATTGAAAGATTCTTCAGAATTCAGAGCAGAAGCAGGAATGTAAAAATTCCTGAGCTTTTGCCTCTACTCAGCTCACAAGGAAAGGAAGGGGGAGAGGCAAGTGAAAGTGATGAGGGCGCTGGAGTTCAGAGGTAAGCCTTGTTGGTTTGGGCGATGTCTGTTCCTATTGTTAGAACACCCTGGCACACTGCTGGCAACTCTCAAAATGAATATGACAAGTCTAACATGCAAGATTAATGCTCCTTCCTGCATCATGGGATGTTATAAATACAACTGTAGCTTTTTATAAACTGCCAAGTGGTATGCCACCCCATGGAAAGCAGATGAAGGAAACCCAAGAGAGACTAATTTTGAAAGAGGGAAAATAATGACATCATTGATCCGTTTTAAATACATTTCAGAAAACATTTAGAAATGTTCACACACCATGAGGATACAGGAATTCTATAGCCCAAAACACAAATTGTGTATGGGGTAGGAGACTGTGCATACATCTGAGTGCATAAAAAAATCTTCTGGGAAATGACATACAGATTTTACCTATAGGGGAAAGAATACATGCCATCATGGTGGTGTTTTTAAGGTAAAAGTTAAGGTAAAAGTTAAGTCTTGCTCTAAATCCTTCATTTTCAAGCCCAGAACCATTTCTCTGCACAGCCCAAGAGCCCGAGCCCTGCCTCCTACCTGCGCTGGTGCTGGAGCTGGGGCTGGCCTGGGTGGCGGGCGGGGGCTGCCCATCACTCAGCTGCTTCACTCGTTTGCGGTGGGACTTGCCATTGGAATGGACCTGGGCCTGAGCTGCCGAGTTCAGCTGGATGTTGCACACCTCACAGAAGGAGAACAGAATTTTCTTTTTCTCTTTGTTCAGCTGGTCCTCAGGCCTGTCGTTCTTTATCCCTTTGTCATCAAAGCCCCGTAGAAAAGTTGCCATATTCATAGTTCCATCTTCAAGGAGATTGTCAGGGCTTAAGGAGTACTTCATGCCTGAAAAACAAAAAAATATACAAATGCTTATGAAATTCTATGTGCCTTCTTATTTTCTAATATGATTACAGTAAATTTTTTAATTGTATGGTTTTAGCTAAAAGTCCCCCAGCTACTCAGTGGTTACTCAAGAAAAAGTCAACGGAAGTATCTAACTAAGCAGGCCTGGTATGTGAACATGAGTTCCTCTGTCTGGAGCACGTTATACCCCATCCTTGCCCGCCCTTCACCTCCCAATCTCTTTGCCTCTTTTACTCCTCCCCACCAACCCCATGAGATTTTAACTGGCACATCACCCATCCAGGAACTCATTCCGACCTGGGACACAAGGCAGAATCTGGTTAAATGCTCACACAGACGACATGATCTCCCTCTCTAGCGTCATGGTGAGCATGTCATAGGTATTCATGTAATTTATGTCTGTCTTCCCGTAAGAGTATAATCTCTGTGAGGGCAGCCACCTTCTCTGGATATCCTTTAGTCCTAGAACTGCAGCTTTTACATAAAAGGATTCCAAATACCCACTACACAAAGGAATAAATGACATTATGAATTATGAAAATGTGACACACATGTACATAACCCACACACACCTGCACACAGACTAACAGACACATCCCCTAACTGCAGGGGAGGAAGCAGAGAGGGAAGCGCAGTATGTCTGCAACTTACATCGGGCTGTGTTCTGCAGCCCCTCTAAGAGACGGCCAGTGGGAATCCGGACATACTTTCTTATAGATGTAGTGAAACAAATTGTTTTGAGGTTTCCAGATTAGCCCATAAACATCAATTTAATCTTTGATGAAGTCAAAATGCAGAGCATCTGAAATACAAAACAACAGAAACAGAACATTATGCGGAACTGGTGGTTGGAAAAGAACAAAGCAAAAGGAGATGTAATTTGGTTGAAGTGCTGACGTTTGTCTTCACTTATTCAGGGGATCATATATGGATGGATTATAACCGAAAGGAGGATTTCAAAGGGAGTTCTGAGTACCTTGGGACCCTTGCAGGGGAAGATTGACTTGGCATTTTGTTTTATTTAGGGTCACTTTAAAATATGTGCATTTTTATACTTATCTGTGTAACTGTGACAATGTTTTGGTTTACAATATGAATAAAGAGAAAGATACTCTCAAAGAAGAAGTAGGGAGAAATTTGGCAAAAATCAAGGGAAAAGCAGTTGGGCCGCAGTGAACAATGCAGTTCCATGAGGGCTGGAGAATTCGTGGGGATTTCCACCTAGGGGACAAACTCAGGGAGGTGAATCAACAATATATACACATTTATATATTTGCTCTGAGTTGGCTTAGAGCTCTATAGAAAGGAAGGAACAGTGAGAGAAGATATATGGAGTGTTTCACATGCCAAAAACATGTATGTGTATCTTCTTATTTACACTCATATGCCCAATTGTGAAGGTTGTTTGAATTTTGCTAATTTTTGTACATAAAACCCCTTTGTCCTATACTTTACTCTCTGATGATACAACATCAAAAGGGACTCTATCGTAAAATATTTTCCAAATGAATCTATTCCTTCTAACTCTCCAGAAAGGCAGTTTTGGTCCTTAAAATCTACTCACACTGCATAAATCAGGTTTAAACAGTTCCTATGGCTAAGCTACGGAAAATAATTCAGCTATAATTAAAATGCGATTTGAACTACACATACATTTACATATTTGTTTTTATTTCTTAAATACAAAACATTATAATATCACAAGCCATTTTTCTCATAAAGCTTTAGAAAATATCAGTGTCATATAAAAATTATGTTCAAATATATTAGCCTATATCCTCTCATAAAATATTAAAATATATCATAAGAATTAACTGGGAAAAGATAAAGAGATTAGTAATTTTTTAAATTGAGCTCAAATTAATATACTTTGCCCTGTCTAGAAAATAAATCCACTGCAAATTATTAAGAAAAGCCAATTAGCTTTTAACCTTGCAAAGCCAGGCCAGGCACCATCTTACTCAGTCATTGAAACCTAGGTTTACATTTTGACTTAAGCACATTGACTAATGTGCCTGACTTAGCCAAGAAATGCTGACACTTTCATATGAAAATTCAACTTCTTTGGAGGTGTTTGGCCTTGCCCATGCTGTGAGTAAACACAAGGTATTTCAGAGAAACAGGACATAGATCATCATAATGTTTTGTTTTAAACTTGAAATCTAAAAAAATAACTCTCTTGCTTTCAAGGTCTTATAAAAGATTAAGCCAGCTCAGCTTACTGCACTTTCCTGATTGCCATTTGTCCATTAGAAATTACCTTCTAAAGGGCTCAACTACCACTTGGACTCTACCTAACAAATGCAAACAATGGGACCCAATTGTTTGCACATTCATATTAATCTGAAATAATAATAAAGTAAAATAAAATAAAAGTTAAACTTTTATTTAAGTATATATATATATAATATATATATATTTTAAGCAGAAAGAAATCTTCAAAATAAAATGAATGTCTCTTCTAGAATTCTCCTGTAACCTCTTCAGAGTACCAGTACCCTTCATTACCTGTCATCCTATTTTACCTTCTCCTAGAGTTGCTCTCTCTTACAGATGACCTTCCAAGCCTCCACACTACATTTATTGGTCCTTCCAGTGAGGGTCCAATGCCTAGGGGTGCAGTATGCATTCTGTCTACCAAATCTCAATTGATTAGTCCTACTTCTGGCTTCATACTTCCTTCCCTCTCAAGGGAAAAACAAGGTCAGGTCCCATTAATGGGCACTTGAAACCAGAGTATATTTAGTTCCAGAGGTCTTCGGGAAAGGACCTAGAGGTGGTAGAGAGGCAAGATATCAAAATCCACTTTTGGCCTGAGATGATATAATTTCTAGATTACGACTGTGATAACATTGATAATAGCAACTTTCTGGCTAAGGGGAAAGGAGCAGTGAGTTTAAATGGAAGAAGAGAGAAAAATCTCACTTTCCTCACTTTCTATTTTAAAGTTCTTTATCAGACTATCTTAAATTATATGCTTCCTTTGCATGAAGCAGAAGGACCAGCAAGGGTGTCTGATTCTGAACAGAGCAGTGGACAGTATTCTACTTTGGACCACCAAGGGTTAGGGTAAGAAAAGTTGGAATAATTGGACCAATATTTTATGCTATTTTGCATAATTTTATCAGATTAGATGACCGATGACTCAATACTATGAAAGAAGAAGATTTTGGTGTAGGTGAAGAAATGAAAAAAGTTTGATCCTTGAGTTGCTGCTTTTGGGGAGAAGAGCTGATGGATCCAAAATGGACAGTCAGCGAATATCTAAGGAAGTGATTTTAGATACCAGGAGGTGCTTCATCAGGAAAATTTTCTAATATCACAACTTTCCCTAGAACTGTCCTTGACCTACACAGTTATCTCTTTTTTTAAGTAATAATTTGAGAATAACAGGAAACTGACTCAGAGGTAAAGACATCTCTGTTGTACATATAGCGGAATACCCTCTTTGGCATGGAGTGGCCACATCAGATAGAGAACAGGGAAGGAGGCAGCCTCCCTTCTAATGTGTGAAAAGGCTCTGCCTCCACTCTGTGGGTTTATTATATCATTCCTCAAAACAAGTCAGTCAGTTTTATCCACTGCCCATTCATTCCTCATCCCCTAACAACCCTGCTCACAATTCCTTTCCAGATGGAGTGCTTGTCTTTGAAAGTCACTATAAACATTCCCTAACTGCCCCTCCTGGGCCCGCACTCTTCTTCAAACTCCTGATGGTCCTCTCGCCAGGGCCTCTCCTGCATCTGCACACCTGAGCCATCATGTGCATATGGCCAGCATGGCACATGCTCTTGAGTTATTGTTTTAATTTCTTACATCGTTTTATTACATTTCTATAGTGTATTTACTTGCTCATTTCAGTAAATTTTTATTGACTATGCAGGCAGAGGGCTGGACATCAGGAGGCAACAGTGAGCAGGGTAGATGGAATGCCTTGAGGGCACCTTACGGGCTCATGAGAAATACAGAGGAGAAAACAAGAAATTACAGCACAATAAATACTTTGGAAAGGCCTATATTTTCTTTCTTTGCTACATTTCAAGCTCCTCGAGGATAAAATCTATGGTTTATTCACCTTTGTATTTTCAGTATCTAAGGTTATATTTAGTATAAAATGGGCCCTTAAGAAATATTGGCTGAATAAATGAATGCATTGTATTTGTGAGGGGGTATGGTGGGCATGTGGTGTGTGTGGGGTGTGTATGGTTGTATGTAGGGTGAATGTAGTGAGTGGTGTGGATATACGTGTGGTGTGCGGGCCATGAGTGTACAGTGTGTTTGGTGTATATGGTGTGTGGGTTTTGTGTAAGATATGTATTTTTGAATGCATATGCATGGTGTGTGGGGTTTGCAATATATGCAGTATGTGATGTCTGCAGTGTGAGGTGTTTGTGGTATATGTGCTGAGTGGTGTGTATGTGTGTGGCATAGGT